CCAGCCCTCGGCTCCTTTGAGATTCCCCCACTCCACGTAAGGGCTTCCCTGGGGGCTCAGATGGTAAAGAATCCGCCTGCCAGCGCAGGAGACACAGATTTGATCCCTGGTTCGGGAAGATCCCCAGGAGAAGGAAATGGCACCCCACTCCAGTATTCTTGCCTGGAGAATCCCATGGACAGAGGAGCCTGGCAGGCTACAGTCCATGGGGTCACAGAGTTGGATACGACTGAATGACTTTCACAGGTTTTTCGTAGACTACTACACCACATAAAGCCATTCCTGAAGTGTGGATCGGGCACTCGTTTTGTTGAAAAACTCAGTTATTTCTGCAAACTCATTTCCTCCCAGATTCTGATTTGGAAAAGCTCAGTTCTCCCCCAGCCTCACATCCAGACTGGGCTCCAAGGCTTCCTTCAGGCATCTAATGGGCAAAGGCCTGGCCCCCAGCCTCTGCAGGGGGAGTGAACCAACACTGAGACCCATTACCCTCTGATGCAGCCTCCCGTCCAACCTCTTCCCCAAATTCCTCTCTGCAGGGTCCAGACCCCGCCTCACCAGGCCCACAGGAAAGGGGCCTCGGAAACTCTGGCCTGAAAGTCCCGGGGGTCCTGCCTGTCGTCGTCTCCCCACCAGCGCCTTCTTATCGCTGGTGAGGTTGAAAACTGGTCCTTAAGTCGTGTTCCTGAATTCACCGGGGACCACACCAGAGCCAACCATCGGTCAGCCAATACCTTGGGACGTAGGTCCCACGGAATCAAACACAGATGATGTTTGCCTTATGAGACGCTATGGTGGTAGGAAGTAAATGAAACAAAACTTATAGCTAAAGAACAAGCTTCTTTGCATTAAGAAAGCCGGGAGTCTATCTGGCATGTGTTATTAAGTATTAGAACAGTTCCCAGAAACAGCCCGCCCCGCACAGAATTCCCACTGACTGCTGATGGCACACGGGATTCACTGGCCAGCCCTCCCCTCCAGCAGGCCCCGGGGTAAACCTGGGGCCACGTGTCTAGGCTGATGGTAAGCCTGCGAGCCTGAAAGGTACGCTGCACGTGACTTTCTCAAGCTCACTGTAAGCTCCTTGACTGTGGCCATCGCAACTTGGCCATTTTCGAATTCCCCTCATCCCAGCCATTCCCCTTCCAGCCTGTGATCAAGTGCTAGTGATGGACGGATTCTGGCAAGTACAGGTTCAGCACAAGTTTGCTGAATGAAATTATGACGAAGACTTTTGGCTTCTTTGGTGTCCATGTTCTTTGAGATCAAGTACTGAATAAAGCAAATGTGAAGGCAGACTCAAGGGCTTTTTTCTCTGGGGTCTGACTTAAGCAGGATCTATTCCCCACGAGCCTTGTAGGACTGGTCATAGCTCATGGCCATTCCAGCAAGGGGACGAGAGAGCTACTTAGGAACAAGAGAGACCGTGGTAAAGCAGTCCAGACCCCTCCCACAAAGCAAGAGACAGAGAGGCCATTGATAGGCCACCTCCCCTGGCTCCCCAGATCCTGAGCTCATACCAGTGGTGGTCACGGGGCTTCTCACTGCCTCTTGGACAATGTTAACTCAGTCACTCGGTGAGACTAAGATCCTGGTCCTGGAATAAGCTTCCCCCTGTGACCTGAACCCTGGATGACAGTGGAAAAGAGGAAAAGTTAAAATTTTACATAGCCTCCTGTTCCTTCTGCCTCTGTAACTCAGATGCTCCTTGCAAAGTCTGGATCACATAGGTCTCAGAAAGTGGGGACTCACAATACTAGGAACTGGGGCTTATCTCACCCAACCTTGTCCTGCTCTTTGCAAATCATCCAGCCTCTACAAACTCACAAACCCACTTAATCATGCCTGTCCGTGTATAAAAACTCTGTAACCCCTTTGTTCGAGGCTCAGAGCTTGGCGTGTTGCCTCCTCTGGGCCCGCTGGTGTAATAAACCTGAGTTTTCCCGCTCTCTGAGGGTGGTTCTTGGTTCCTCTAGTACCGGTTTCTGCAACAACAGCTGGGAAAAGTTAGGAGCGTACTTGCCCTATGAACAGGGCCCTGCAACACCAGCATCCTCCAAGGGGCCTGCCTCAGTTGGCACAGGCTGCTTAACAAAATGCCACAGGCTGGGTGGAATGTCTAGGTTGCATCTCTGGAGACTGGGAGTCCAAGGTCAGGGTGCCAGCAGGTTCGGTTCTGGTGAGGACTGTCTTTGGGTGGAGTCTTCTCGTTGGGTGCTCACGTGGAGGAAAGGGTGAGGTCTATCTGTGGGGTCTCCTTTGAGTGAGTGAGTGAAGTCGCTCAGTCGTTGTCTGACTTTTTGCAACCCCATGGACTGTAGCCTACCAGGCTCCTCCATCCATGGGATTTTCCAGGCAAGAATACTGGAGGGGGTTGCCATTTCCTTCTCCAGGAGATCTTCCCGACCCAGGCATCGAACCCAGGTCTCCTGCACTGTAGGCAGACACTTTACCTTCTGAGCCACCAGGGGTCTCCTTTATAAGACCTCATTTATTGGGGTGGGGGGGGGGCGCACTCTCATGACTTAAATCCATCCCGAAGGCCCTGCCTCTTAATACCACTATTTTTGGGGACTGGGGTTTCTACATACGAATTTTGTAGGGACAGAAACATTCATACCACAGCAGGACTGACTGTCATTGTTATAGCATCTTCAGCAAACTTGATGCTGAAAGTAATAAACATCTTCCTTGGGGAAAAGAATCACAGGTTAATTTCTTCCCTGAACTGTTCTAGGTGGGCTTTTAAAAAAAATACGCCTTTATTTACTTGGCTGAGCCAGGTCTTAGTCGCAGCATGTGGGATCTAGTTCCCTGACCAGGGATCAAGCCCAGGCCCCCTGCCTTGGGAGCATGGAGTCTTAGCTACTGGACGACCAGGGAGGTCCACTAGGTAGGCTTTTAAAGTCACCAGAAACTAAGAAGACAAAGAAGCCTGGCTCGCTGCAGCCCATGGGGTTGCAGAGAGTCGGACACGATTGAGCGACTGAACTGAACTGAAGCTAAATGCTTCCACCAACCTCACTGGCCCATCCTCACGAGAATCTGGCCCCAGTGATCCCTGTCTTCAGGAGGATTTCTGCTGTAACTATGGGAGCACAGGCCGACCAGCCCCATTTCCTTACTCTGTTAGCAAGATGCTCAGTTATCATTTGAGTTCAGTTCAGCTGTGGAATCTTCTAGCTGTAGCTTGGGCCCTGGAGGGGCAGAGACTTAATAGGGGCTGCCTTTTCCACATCCTGTAAGAATTGCAAAGATCCAGTAAGTCAACTTTTACACAGTGCTTGGGGACGGGAAGGGTCTATCTGGGCTAAAAATGTACCAGGAAAAATCATGGGTTGTTTGTTCCTAGCACGGTGGCTTAAAGTACACCCCACTTTCCACCTTGATACCTTGTTAAAAAGTTGGAAAGTCTCTATCGGGGTGAGAAAGACAACTTTTACTTGTTCAGTGGGTGGTTTTTTAAAAGCCCTAGAGATTCATTCCTAACACAGGTCTATTCAAAAGTGTCAAAGACACTTACCGCTCACCCACACATGCAGGGAAGCCAGGAGAGAGAATATAGAAGAAATTGGAGCCTCTGGGGTGGAAGGAGGAATTTTCTCTGTCGCAGTAGGAGCCCTTCGCTGGGGTAATGTGAAAACAGAGCCCCTGTAACCTATCTCGTGCACCCACTCTGCGGGGGAGTCAGGCACAGCCCTGGCTTTTTCCTAACATTCAAGTTCTCAACAAAAACCTTCCTGAATTCAAAGCACTGACTGTGGCTGACATGAGACAATTATGGCTGCTAACTGTTTGCCATCCCAAACCAAGAAGTATTAAGTAGTTGAATAACCAGGCCACCTTCCTCCAAGCCTCTGGGCTTGGGACACATGGGCTTTTCAGTCTCGTGGATGATACTGAGGTCCAGGTTTCTGCACTTCCAGCCAACACGGTGGGGTCCTGGACACCAGCCCCTGCAATCTCTGGCCTCACTGTCCACGTTGCTGGTGACCCATCTGGAAGGCATCATTAAACTTGGCATCTCCTGCAAGCTGAGGTGACTGCTGTCTCATTGACCCCTTCCCAATCAGGGTGTGTCCAGTTTCATTTCCAGTAACCTCAGCTCTTGACTCCAGGCTGCTGACCTTGTCTTCCCGCAGACTTTTGCTTGGCTGGCCCTTCAGCTCCCAGCATCCCTTGCTACCTGCAAAGGCAGAGATCCCCTGCCTTAAGGTTGATCCCACAGAAAACAGCCTTTGACCTTCGAGTCCCAGCCTCAGCCCTCGTGAGGGGACAAGGTCAATGGCCATGTATGTATCAGAGTGACAGGTCTGTTGCTGGGCTGGTCCCGACAGCAGACCCTCTCCTTCTCACTCCTTTCTCTCATCACCCCAACCCTGTTTTTAATTTACCCCTTAGACTAATAATAAGGCTTCCGAGGTGGCACTGGTAAGCTTCATTATTAGTAAAGAATCCTCCTGCCAAAGCAGGAGATGCAAGAAATCTGGGTTCCAACCCTGGATGGGGAAGATGCCCTGGAGGAGGAAATGGCAACCCCCTCCAGTACTCGTGCCTGTTGAATCCAAGGGACAGAGGAGCCTGGTGGGCCACAGTCCGTGGCACTGCAAAGAGTTGGGCATGGCTGAGCGCACACACAGACTAAAATTCAGGAATCTGCAAATACCGAGGCCAGCCAAACAGGTGGTCCTGCTAGGGCTCTGGCAATGAGTGCCCCCGAGGTTCTAAGGAATTGGTCGATTCCCTTACGCTGGTATTACATCCTGGCAAATGGACAAAAACCTGGGTTTCGTTAAGCTTTCCATACCAATTTACCTTTATGCTGAGGAGAAAATTCATCCCAAAGGGTAATTTATTCAAAAACCTGCAAGTGTCTGGGAAGAGGGACTTCTAATGAAAGTGCCTTTTTAACCATAACTATATCGTGTCCTGACATTTATAATGAAGCCTAGAGCCAGAAATAGATTTTCCAGGAGCGCGGGACATGTCCCAACAGCTAGATGAAGTCCCTTCTGCCCCAGCGGTGCCTGCGCCTAGGAGGAGTCTGGGGGCCTTCCGTGTTGGTGTGGCTTGGGGGGTTTCCGGAACTGCTCACGGGGCCCCCTCGAGGGGTACGGCGATGGGCACCCGAGACCATAGCCACACATGCGTTCTTGCAGAGACAATACAGAAGGAAAATAATTGCCTCCGTTTCTAAGCAAGGCTGAACGCTAACCTTTCACGGTCTGTTTTATTCTCCCTAGAAATTATATCGATTTGGTCTTTCGCTTTGTGATTAAGAGAGAATTTAGTTAGCAGTCAAGGCGCACTGCTCACATATTTATCAGTGTTCTTGAAACCACCTTGACATCATCCGATGGAGAGTTGGAGCAGTTTGGGAAATTAGTTACAAGAAGCCTTGAAAGTTTCTGGGACTTGAAGAAACCAGGCCAGGTCACAAAGAGGGCTCACAGGTCCTCCTTACCCGGTGGGAGCCCTTTAGAGGTTTTCAGAGGGGAGACTGAAACCCGTGAAGTAGCTGTGAGAAAAATCAGGATGCAATTCCGCTTTAAAATGGTGGCTTTCCGAATGCCGTCTGAAGAAAACACGAGAGGAAGAAATCGTCCGCTGTGAACCGGAGGCACCAGGGCTAGAGACGCGGGTGTTCCGTGCGCGACAGTGGCCACGGTGGGGGGCGCGGTGGTCAGGTGAGGACCAGGGAGGCAGTTTTCCGGTGACAAGCGGCCACGCCAGGCTTTTGTGCTGATGCAGGAGAGCAATCGTCTCGCCTCGGAGGATATACAGGGCGAGTTGCTGAAGAGATGGAGGGAAAAGTCAGATCAGTCCCGCTTGGCAGAGAGGATGCTGTGCAGAGAAATACCGCATGGATTAGAGCGACGCCATCATTCATGCAAAGACGGTCCAAGAGTGGAAAGCAGGATGACACCTGCAGTGCCCAGGGCCAAGCCGGCTGTGTAGACAGAGGCTGGGGGGCGGGGGGGACGGGGTTGGAGGGGGAGCGGGGGCAACAGGAGGGGAAGCTCAGCCTGTAGGGGCCAGCACTGTTCAGCCCCGTCAACCTGCAAAGGTCGCTGCAGCCGCCAAATCAAAAGCCAGTAAACTGTACTATTGTTTTTCTTTCTGGCTTACTTCACTCTGTATAATAGGCTCCAGTTTCATCCACCTCATTAGAACTGATTCAAATGTATTCTTTTTAATGGCCGAGTAATAGTCCATTGTGTATGTGTACCACAGCTTCCTTATCCATTCGTCTGCTATGGACAGGATGACCCAGAGGGATGGGATGGGGAGGGGGGTGGGAGGGGGGATCGGGATGGGGAACACACGTAAACCCATGGCTGATCCATGTCAATGTATGGCAAAAACCACTACAGTATTGTAAAGTAATTAGCCTCCAATTAAAATAAATAAATATTTAAAAAAAGAAAAGAAAAGCCAGTAAACTGGATTTTTATCTGAAATCTCACCTGCTTTAAAAGGTCGGCAACACTCCTAAAGCCTCTTTAAAACATTGTTCCGAGAGGCTGAGACTGACCCTTTGCACTCCCTTATAAAAACCTCTCATCAGGGCTGCAGAAGAGGGAACTGTGTTATTGGCACAGAAGACAGAAGGAAGAGGCAAGTCGGGAGGGATTTTATGAGAAAACTTCTCTAGAGCCTCCAGGTTGGAGCACAGTTCTGAAGCTAATGTGTGTGTGTCAGAAGGTTACTCACTTCAAATCTGGAAGTTAAAACCAGAGTTCTGATCATTAAATAATGAGTGATAACAGTTGAAGCCGAATATGAAATCACTTCCATGCAGCAAGAGGTTAAATATTTATGCTGTTATTTGAATCAGAAGTTATATCTGGTGGAAGTTCATGAATGGCTGAGTGATGTGTTTTCTGCCGGATCTGCCTGTGATCTGCAGGCTGAGGGAGTTGGCCCATGTCCTCATGAATCAGGCACCACTGCTTACAGATAGCAGCTACTGAAATTTTGGACCCAACATCTAGAAAGGAAGAGCAAGCCCTTTTAGGGCAAACCTTGCAGCCTCTCACTTGTATAACATGATGGGAATATTCAGCGGGTTGGAATTCCCTCCCAGACTCTGTTGAGTTTGGATTTTGCTTTACCTCACAGCAATCTTGCCTGAGGTAGTATGTTTATCCCCCTAAGAAGCTTCACAAGCTATAATGATTTGCCCTGAAGAATTAAATAGGGGAGAAAACACTTGTATTATCTCCTGATGGTGGATCAGATTACCCTCCAGAACTGTTTATTCCCGCCCACATTCACCCTGGTGGGCTGAGTATACCTTCCTGAGCTTTGGTTTCAGGCGTGGCCTTTGTTGTTGTTGTTCAGTGGCTCAGTTATGTCCTACTCTTTCGACCCCATGGACTGCAGCACACCAGGCTTCCCTGTCCTTCACTCTCTCCCGGAGTTTGCTCAAATTCATGTCCATTGAGTCCGTGATGCCATCCAACCATCTCATCCTCTGTCGTCCCCTTCTCCTCCTGCCTTCAATCTTTCCCAGCATCAGGGTCTTTTCCAGTGAGTCAGCTCTTCACATCATGTGGCCAAAGTACTGGAGCTTCAGCTTCAACATCAGTCCTTCCAATGAATGTTCAGGGTTGATTTCCTTTAGGACTGACTGGTTTGATCTCCTTAGTATTTGCTTTAGGGGCTTCTATGCTAAGAGACAGGATGTGACCAAATGCTGGAAAGCACGTGTGTGTCCAGGCACGGTCTCGGTTCAGCCGTCTGTGAGATGCAATTTCTCCAGGCAACTATAGCCTCTGCAGCCTGGGGTGAGCATGTACAGAGCAGGGCACCGTCACCCCACCCCACTCCCCGCCAGACCCAGCTGGGTCCATGGCTGATGCAATATGCGCCCCCCCTCGCCCCCACCCAGAGCCCAGCCTGGGGAGCTGCCCTGCCAATACACAGATCCAGGAGAACAAATAGATGTTAAGAAACCATGTTCCGGAAAGATTTTATTATTTAGCATTATTCTAGCACTGACTCATTGATTCCATCCCGTCAGAGTGAACGAGGCTTTTTGCCTTTTAATTGGTCCTTATAATTCGTTTGCTTCTCCAGGGTGTAAGCATTTCACTCAGCGTGAGAAGAGTAGGCATTTTAAAGGGCCAGGAGAGCTAGACAACATTCAGAGGGTCTCAGCTTAGCAGTGGGTCTTCTTGTGCGCAGGCTGCTGAAGTCCCACTTGCCATCATCAGTCATCAGTTGAAGATCAGGTACAGTTGGAGAAGGCACTGGCAACCCATTCCAGTCTTCTTGCCTGGAGAATCCCACGGACAGAGGAGCCTGGCGGGCCATGGGGTCACAGAGAGTCGGACACGACTGAAGCGACTAAGCACGCACGCACGATGGGACCTGGGCGTCATCGTCTTCTCAACCCTCTCCTACCCACCATTCTGCCCCTCACTCCGCATCCCGGGAGAGGTGGCTCTCAGCTGCATCTCAGGTCTTTCCAGGGCTCTTGCCCCCAGCGATCCTGGGCCAGGTCACTGTCCTCTTTGCTTGGATTAGTAAGTCGCCTCCACGTTGCCTCCTTCCATCCATGTCTCATCTTGGGTCCCCCTTCCCACCAGCTTTGAAACACTTGCACTACTTCCAGATCTCTTTCGGATCGTGACGGCTTCCTAACTATGGCTTCCAAGACCCTTTAGGACCCACTTCCTGCCTACCATGCTACCGTCTCTCACCACCTGGTGTAAATATAGAAAAATGGAGTTCAGAAACAGACCCACATATATTAATATACAACCAGTTAACGGGCTTCCCAGGTGGCTAAATGACTCTGCCTGCACTGCAGGAGACACAAGAGACGCAGGTTCAATCCCTGGGTCGGGAAGGTCCCCTGGAGGAGGGCATGGTGACCCACTCCAGTATTCTTGCCTGGAGAATCCCATGGACGGAGTAGCCTGGCGGGCCCCAGTCCATAGCGTCACAAAGAGTTGGACATGACTGAAGCAACTTAGCACACATGAAATTATAAATCAGTTATACATGCATATATGTTCTTTTTCATATGCTTTCCCATTACGGTTTATATCAGACATTGAATATAGTTCCTGTGCTTGCAGTAGGTCCTTGTTTACCCGTATACACATATCAGTCTGCATCTGCCAATCCCAAACTCACACTCCTCACCTCCCCTGCCCCCTTCCCGCTCGGAAACCACAAGTCTGTTCTCTGGGAGTCTGTTTCTCTTTGGTTAGTTCAGTTCAGTCGCTCAGTCACCGACTCTTGGCGACCCCATGGACTGCAGCACGCCAGGCTTCCCGGTCCTTCACCCGCTCCCGCAGCTTGCTCAAGCTCAAGTCCATCGAGATGGTGAGTCTGTTTCGTAGATAAGTTCATCTGTGGCCTATTTGAGATTCCACGCATAAGTGATATCACGTGGTATTTGTCTTTCTCTGACTTAATTCACTTAGTATGATCATCTCTAGGTCCTTCCACGTTGCCGCTAGCAGTCTTTTTCATCTCCAAGGCCCTGTGAGGGCAGGACAGGGTGTTCAGGCAGTCCAACAAGTAGTCGCCTGAGTAATAAGATCCACAGCTGGGAAAATGGTGTCTGCCTCTTTTGGCTCCTCACCTCTCAGATGCTAGTAGATGAAACAAGGTCCAGTGAGTGTTTCTGGTGTTTGAGTCCTTCCCCCTGTCCCCAAGCATCCTTTATGACATCCAGCCAAGTCACTTTGAATTAAGGGGCAAGTGGGCATCACTTAAGAGTTCAGTTTGAAAAGCTGAAGATAAAGGTCAGGGAAGGTAGAAGCCCATCTCCTCACATTGAACAGGGCTGGTGTGATGGGGGGGGGCCCAAACCCAGCTGGACGAGGGTTGGCAGCTCATCACAGCACCTCCTGTTCTTTCAGGGCTTTTTGGGGCAGACGCATCCTTCCAAACCGGAGATGAGGGGCAGGGCCCTGGGGTGGGGCAGGCACCGAATGCAGCAGAGCAGCCAGAGGCGGCTCGTGCACATGCGCATGGTGCTCCCCAGAGCACGCGTCACCACGTGCCTCGCCAGGGACATGGCCTGCCTGTCACGGGGCAGCCCCACACAGCGTGTGCCCAGCGACAGACGTGTGCGTCAGACCACAGCGGACAGCAGCCGCAACAGATCTGCAAGAAGACATCAGACTCAGCCCCCAGCAGCTGGGGACGCCGGCCCACCTCACGCCCTGCTCCTCTGGGAATCAGCTCCCGCCGGAGCCACGTGAACTGGGCTGGCACCCGCCCCACCCACTGCAGAGGTGCTGAGAGAGACTGGGCCTCCGGGACCGTGCCCCGCTGGTCCTAATGAGGGCGGAGGGCCCACTGGAGCCTGGAGAGGGGTCAGGATGCCGGACTGCACATCCTCAAATAGCCGGCCGTCTTCTCTGGAGCCTCCGGGGCCTGATGCAAGGGTCAGGTGGTAGAGGAGGGACCGTCTGCCTTACCGTCACTGTGCCGAAGGTCCCCCACCTGCGAGGGATCCAAATTCATAGCATCTTCCCTTCTTAACGGTGTTCTTTCTTTTTTAAAATGAAGTAGAGTTGGTTTACAATATTGTGTTAGTTTCAGATGTAGTATATACATTACTATATAATCATGCAGCAAATGATTCAGTTATAGATATATTATTTTTTCAGGTTAGTTTACATTATAGATTTTTACAGGATTTTGAATATAGTTCGCTGTGTTATACAGTAAATCCTTGTTGCTTATCTATTTTAGATATGGTAGTGTGTATCTGTTAATCTCCAACTCCTAATTTATCTCTCTCCCCCACCTTTCCCCTTTGATAGCCATAAATTTGTTTTGTAGGTCTGTGAGTCTGTTTCTGCTCTGTAATTAGACACATTTGCTTTTAGATTCATTATTTTTTTAGATTCCACATATAAGTGGTATGCAGTATTTGTCTTTCTGTCTCACTTCACTTAGTATGAGAATCTCTAGGTCCATCCATGTTGCAGCAAAAGGTAATACTTCATTCTCTTTTATGACTGAGAAATGTTCATTGTATATATACATATATGTATACACACACGTACACACACATGTGCACACACACGTACATACACATACATGTGCACACACGCACACATGCATACACACGTACATGTGTACACACGTGTATATACACACATGCATACACACATATACATGCACACACACATACACACATGTGCGTGCACACACGTGCATATACACATACATGTGTGCACACGTACACACATATACACACGCACGCACACACATGTACACACATACATAGGCACACACGTACATGTGCACACATGTACATACACACATACATACACACACGTACATATATACACACGTACACACATGTACATATATATACATATATATATACATACACACAGACACACACATACACACACATATACACACAGACACATACATATACACACACACATATAAATATATATACACATGCATTGCTGTTGTGTTGTTGTTTAGTTGCTAAGTCGGTCTCTTTGTGACCATGTGGACTGTAGCACACCAGGCTCCTCTGTCCATGGGATTCTCCAGGCAAGAATACTGGAGTGGGGTGCCATTTCATTCTCCAGGGGACAAACATATACCATATCTTTTATATATGTAAATATACCCCACATCTTCTTTAGTCATTCATCTGTTGCTGGGTGCCTCGGTTGCTTTTGTGTCTTGGCCCTTGTAAATAGTGCTGCTTTGGGCATGTCATTTCTGCTAGAGCAGCTAACATTAACAAAGAACATACTGAATGCCAAGCACTATGTGAAGCCCTTTATGGGATTTTCTGATTTAATTCTCACAACAGTCTTGTAGGGTGGGTGCTCTTATTATCTCTGTATTACAGATAAAACAATTAAGGTTTAAAGTAGTTGAGTAACCTGCCCAGGTTCACTCAACCAGGACCAGAGGACTGAGGCAGGGACGCAGACCCAACTGGCCCGTGCTGTCAGCCTCACTGTACTTTGTCCACCCAAGACCCAGAGAGAAAATGGGGAGCAGGGCCACAGGGGCGTGGTCGGGGGGACCAGGTGACGCGGGAGTGCCTGAGGAAGTCACTTCTGAGGTGGCTCTTGTTTATTCCCAACCCAGACCCTAAGAAACCAACTGGGCAAACTTCTCGACCTGCACCCCCAGACTGCGTGTTCAGAGTACGCAGCTCACACAGGAAGGCCCTTCTTGGACCCACACGGCAGGACCCAAACTTGGGAAAGGGGTTGTAACTACAGCAACCATGCGTGTGCTAACTTGCTTCAGTTGCGTCGACTCTTTGGGACCCCATGGACTGTAGCCCGCCAGGCCCCTCTGTCCATAGGACTCTTCAGGCAAGAATACTGGAGTGGATTGCCATGCCCTCCTCCAGGGGATCTTCCCAACCCAGGAATCGAACCCATGTCTTTCACATCTCCTGCACTGACAGGTAGGTTCTGTACCACTAGCACCACCTGGGAAGCCCATAGCAACCATAATTTACCCTAATCTCCACCCATAGAAGGAAGAGAGTTTTATCTTAAAAAGAAAAAAATCAACTGCCAGGATAACTTACGATTGACATGTAACTTGGGTAGTGAAAAGCCAGGGAAGAAATTTGGTGATGGAAATACAGCCCTTCAAGGACGCAAGCCTGAAGTTGCAGGTGAAGGAGACTCAGGGGTCAGACAGCTTGGGTCCCTTCCCAGGAGCCATCTGTGCTGGGGTCAGTAGGTTTGGCATCTGTCAGCATCACTCTGTTTGCTGAAACCCTCGAAGCCTTGCCTTGTCACATCCCATTGAGAGCTACCGTTTCCTTCCTTTTGCACTGGCTCACTCACAATGTTAGTAAGCAATTTAAGAAGTGAATTATACTAATTTTGCTTATCCCTGAAGTGTGAAATTTTAGAAGATGGTGCCAAATGAATGATCATGTATATTTCCCAGTTCGTTCAAGCCTTTTTTTTTTTTTCAGTTTGTTCATTCTTAATGACACTTCTCCACTGTGTAAATTTCACTGAGCAAAGTGGAAGATGAAAACAATTATAAAATTATCTAGAAGTACCAGATTTCAGATGTTGATAAGCAGAAGAAAGAGACTTTTATGGATCTGTATATGCATACTTTTTGTTCACTTAAATTCTAGGCCAGTTGTTCACTGGGCAAAGATACCAGCTAGATTATCAGATACCACAAATTTCTGCTGATGAGATGAGACTGAAATAAAACTGTGACTGAAGGTAGATGGACTCTCATCTTGCACATGCATTTGAGTCTAAGTCAGTACACTGGTGGTGAAAATCAAATGAAGTCAAAGCTAGCCTTGAAAATTCTTTAATTATTCCACAAATAGCATCTCTGGTAGGATATCGGTGGGGCTTCCCTGGTGGCTCAGATGGTAAAGAATCTGCCTGCAATGCAGGAGACCCAGGTTCAATCCCCGGGTTGGGAAGATCCCCTGGAAAAGGGAATGACAACCTACTCCAGTATTCTGGCCTGGAGAATTCCATGGACAGAGGAGCCTGGTGGACTACAGGGCATGGGTTCATACAGAGTCAGACACGACTGAACGACTGACACTTTCACTTTTTCTTTCTTCATGATATGTGGAACTGTATCATGTAGCCATTGACAGGAGCTCACTGCATAACAAACAGCCCCGCAATCTCCACGGAAACCAACAGTGAGCATTTAATGATGCCTCCTGTGCCCGTGGGCCTGTGGTATCTCTGTTCTGGGGCCTGGGGTGGAGAGGCCTTACCGTCTGTCCAGGGTGCGTTCTTCCGGTGCTGATGGCGGATGAGCGGGAAAGACGCCTGCGCACGCCAGCGCATTTGAAGCATCTCCGTACCGCATGGTTAGTAACATCCCATTGGCCAAAGCCAGTCACGTGGCCAAGCCCCGACTTACGGGGCAAGGAAGCGCCTCTCTGCCGTGCAATTCCATGAGCAAGTGTGGTTCTCTGCTGTCATGGAGTCAGAAAACAGGGCAAATAATTTGTTACCACACCTCCTTAAGGTGTAGTGTTTACTTATATAAAGGACAGGTTCTAGTTCAGTCATCTGAGCAAGTGAAATCTGGGTGCGAAGCCGTTGCCCCATGAGGACAAGATATTTGCTCAGCTTCCGGGGCTGTGTCCTTGTTCTCCCTGCCCCCTAACGGCCAGGGAAGCCTGTCTGTGAGAACCAGCCCAGCAGCCTAGTGGCCAGCGGCCAGCGCCCACCCAGAGACTCTGCAGAGGTCGTCCCTCCCGGCCGTCATTTCTGCTGAACTTCTGGGCTCCCCATGTGCACCCCACCCCTGCTCCCTGCTGCCAACCCAGCCCTCTGGTCCCCTGCTGCCCTCCGCCACTCCCGTGGACCCCGTGCTTTGGGCTTTAAGACCCAGGTGGGACTTCAGTTTACCCCCAGGAGCTGGACAGCTCTCCTCCAGGCCTCCCAGAACCCTGGGACTCAGGATCACCTAGAAGTGAGGTCACCCGGGGCTCATGGTCACCCAGAAGTGAGGTCACCTGGGGCTCAGGATGATCTAGACGTGAGATTGGACATCACAGACCTGGAAATCTCACTTTTCCCTAAAATGTCCAGTAAGATGAAAATGTTCTAATAGTCAGGATTCATTCAGAAAAAAAAGCAGACACGAAGTATTTTGAGTAGAACAGATTTAACTGGAAGAAGCACATGGCAGTTGAGTAGGGCTGGAGAAGTCTGCTCCCAGAAAATCTGGTTGAGCAGGAATCCCAGAGAAGCTGCGACTCTGGCTGCCGGGAGACCAAGGCCTGCAGCTCTCCCGAGGGCGTCTTAGAACCCAGCAGCTGCTGCCAGCCACTTCCACTGCCTGCCCGCAGAGACGGCTCTTGAGGGGACCTCCTCTCCCTCTGAAACGGCAGCGACTCATCTCAGCCACTTGACAGAGGGATTTTTTCCCCACCTGTCCCTGGAAAGCCCTAACGCTAACCCCTCCTGGGAAAGGAAACAGCAGGCTTTGCTTTGCCAGTGCAGAGGGAGCAGGGGCGATGCTGGTCTGATACAGACCGTGTGGAAAATCCATTTTACCACCTTCCCATATTTAAACTTCTGAATGGCAGCCACCACCCACCGTGCTCCTGTCCCACACGATGCAAGTGAACATGTGTTCAGCCTGGTTACAGGGCGGGAAGACACACAGATCCATGTGCCACTCTGTCCTGACCAACACAGGGGTGACATTTAAAAAAAATTATCCAGATAGTTACATTAATTCTAGAAGATCC